CCTTTTGCTGGCCTGGAAAAGAGTGGCAAAATGCCGCTCCTTTCAGAGTCAAAAAGGATGTTCCAAGAGCCACCGTGCGGCTCTTCTGTGCCACTTCCGGTGCAGCACATAAAGACGCTGCACCGGGAGAATGTTCTGATGCTGCACGCCATGCTTAATGGCGTGTGGCCTTAAGACATTTTCAGGGAGGGGTTGGGGCAGCCAGCATGTGGATGCTGCCTCGAGGATGCTGCAAAGGGCCCATCTGCAGAGGCCCTTAATTCTTTATTGTGATATGGTTTATTTCATTACATGTATCATTAAACCTATAGAACTTACAGCAGTACTTTATTCTTATTGTAGACTGCTAGGAAGAAAACAAAATAGGAGGAGCTAGATGTAAAAAGAAAAGATTTTATAATCAACTAACTAGTAAATGATATTCATAGAATCATAGAGTTGGAAGAGACCACAAAGGCCATCCAGTCCAGCCCCCTAGCATGTAGGAATATGCAATCAAAGGCATCCAGCCTCTATTTAAAGACTTTCAAAGAAAGAGGCTCCACCACTCTCTGACGGAGCCTGTTCCCCTGTTGAATGGCTCTTAACTTATGAGTTCTTCCTATGTTTAGGTGGACTCTCTTTTCCTGTAGCTTGAATCCATTGCTCTGTATTCTAGTCACTGGAACTGCAGAAAACAAGTGTGTTCCTCAGTATGTTCCATCCTTTATCATGTCACCCCTTTACCATCTCTTCTTCAGGCTAAACATACCCAGCTCTCTAAACTGATCCTCATAGAGCATGGTTTCCATACTTTTCACCATTTTGACCACCTCCTCTGGAAATGCTCTACTTTGTCCACATCCTTCTTGAATTGTGGTGCCTAGAACTGGATACAATATTCCACAGGTCTGACCAAAGCAGAATAGAGTGATACTATTACAACCCTTGAGCCAGACACTATGTTCCTACTGATGCAGCCTAGAATTGCATTGACTTTCTTAGCTTCTGCACCACATTGTTGATTCATGTTTAGCCTGTGGTACACTAATATCCCTTTTGCATGTACTGCCATCAAGCCAGGTGTCACCCATCCTATATTTGTGCATTTCATTTTTACTACCCAAGTATACCATCCTACAATTTTCCCTGCTGAAATTAATTTTGTTAGTTTTGGCTCAGCTTTATAATCTGTTACAGTAATCTTGCATTCTGATATTTTCCTCTATGGTATTGATACCCCCCCTCCAAATTTAGTGTCATCTGCAAATTTGATATACATGCCCCTCTATTTCATTATCCAAGTCACTGATAACAATGTTGAATAGCACTGGGCCCAGGATAGAACCATGCAGCACCCTGATATTCACTTCTCTTCAGGAAACCATTTCTGAGAACCATTTGGGTTTGGTCGGTCAACCTATTACAAATCCAACTAACAGTCACATTGTCTAGCCCAGGGATAGGCAACATTTCCCCTTTAAGGGCCGAGGGACTTCAGCTCCCAGAAGCCTCAGCCATGTTGGCCAATAGTCCCATGTTGGCCAATAGTTCCTGGGATTCTGGGAGCTGAAGTCCCTCAGCCCTTAAAGGGGAAAGGTTGCCTACCCCTGGTCTAACCCATATTTTACCAGTTTTTTTCCATGGAATATCATGGGGGACCTTGTCAAAGGCTTTATTTAAATCAAGGTACACTACATCCACAACATTTACTTCATCGTGTGACTCTATTAAAAAAGAGATATTCAAATTTAAACTCTGTTGTTGTTGTTGTTGTTGTTGTTGTTTGCTTTTGTGTGCTTTTATTTCTAACTAACTTGTGGTGACTCTAAGGCAAACCATATTTTTTCTTGGCAAGATTTGTTAAGAAGAGGCTTGCCTTTGGTCTTCCTCTGAGATTGAGAGAGTTCAACTTGCCCAAAGCCACCAGGTCAGTTTTCATGCCCAAGCAAGGATTCAAACCCTGGTTTCCAGAGTTGTAGTCCAGTGCTCAAATCACTACACTACATTAGCTCTCTGTTCTGTCTATAATTACATTAATTTTACATAATTACATAATCTTTGAAAACAGTTTACAATAATTGCTAGTGATAGACTTTTAAAATGGTGGCATATTAAAACACTTCTGTAATTGACATTGAATAAAGAAATATTTTAAAATAGTTTGAAAGCATGAATAACAAAATAGACAGTATGTCCATATTCACCTTGGCTGAATGATGCATGATGAATTGAACACAAAAAAAATCAATAAAATTATTAGTTGGATTGCCCTCTAGGTATGGCAAATGGTGGAACAGTTTAAATTCAAATAATTTGGGAAAACTGGAGTGAAAGGCCAAGTCTTAATAGAGTTTAATAAATCAAAATTTAAATTCTTTTTGAATTATCAATTCAAATATTATTGGGAAAAGGGCTCAGAAGTATTCAGATATCACAAATGTCAGGGATTCTTTCACCCACATTTATAGTTCACATGGAAAGTTTTAACTTATAAACACCAGAAATAATTTAATTTTCTCTGAATTGTAACATTTGAACACTTTTCACTTATTAAGAGAGTGAGTAAAATAGGTCTCCTTGAATATTTATAGAATATGAAACACAAAGATGGAGCTAATTAGATGATATTTAACAAATATTCAAAAGTGGAGTCATAGGCTTTCATGGCCGGCATCCATAGTTGTTGTTTTTTTTTTTTGTGGGTTTTTTTTTTCGGGCTGTGTGGCCATGTTCTAGAAGAGTTTCTTTCTGATGTTTCACCAGCATCTGTGGCTAGCATCTTCAGAGAAAACTGAAATGGAAGAGTCTGGGTGTATATATATATATATATATATATATATATATATATATATATATATATATATATATATATATATATATACACATACATATATACTGTGAGACCCTGGGTAGGGAGGAGTGGTTCCCAGGTGAACTGTGTGTTGTCTGCGTTGAATAGGTATTGTACTGTGTTAATGGCATAACTCCCTACCCAGGGTCTTCAGTTTTCTCTGAAGATGCTAGCCACAGATGCTGGCAAAATGTCAGAAAGAAACTCTTCTAGAACATGGCCACACAGCCCAAAAAAAAAAAACCCACAAAAAATATTCAAAAGTAAATTTCATTTTGGTCAATGAGAATTATTTCTAAGTAAATGAAAATTGTATCCTTATTCTCTTAGTTGGCTTGGTGATTCATCTGTCTGCTGCTCTGCCTTTCCCATCCCTCTTCTTAAATCACTTAATATATTATTGGCCAGTCTATAGTATGAACATTTTCACTTACTGTTCATACTATAGCAAAAAGTTTTGAATATGTTATACGTGCTTTAAAAAGTGTATATTCTTTTAAAATCTGACAAAATACTTTGTCTTTCCTTTCTGAAGTCTTAGCAACACAATTTGTTTGGGGTTAAATCCATCATTTTATTCACTTTGGGCTGAAACAGATGGCCACAAAGCCACCTCCACTCAAGATGTTCCAAGACTGTGGTAACCACATGCCGCAGTCCCAAGGGCACCCTCTGCCAGCAGCACAAATAGGAGCAGGAAAGAGCCATTCATTTTTGGGCCAGGTTTGGGCTGCCCAGAAGCAGCTTCAGTGTGGCTTCCACATGTCTTGGAGGCATGCACTGTCTAATAAACATGTTCTCCAAGCCATGCAGAAGCTGGCTTTTTTAGCCCATTTCAGGCCCTAGGTCTCCAATCTTATAGATCAGGGGTAGGCAACCTTTCCCCTTTAAGGGCTGAGGGACTTCAGCTCCCATAATCCCAGGAGCTATTGGCCAACATGGGACTATTGGCCAACATGGCTGAGGCTTCTGGGAGCTGAAGTCCCTCGGCCCTTAAAGGGGAAAGGTTGCCTACCCCTGCTATAGATCCTTATGTGATTTTTGGGTAAATGTTATGCAGCCATCACCACTTTTCTAGAAAAAGAGCCATATTGTCTGTTGTAACAAGTGCATCAAAGTGTCCTATGTTACATAAATTATCCTGTGTCATGAGGTTCTGTAGGCCAGAGACTACTGCTACAAATGTCATCTTTGACAACACTAGTTAATGAGGCAGTGTATTCCTTGCTGTCCTTGAAAATCTCATAAACATTCTTGAGAGTTGCTCTGAAGTTGGGTTTGTGGCAAGTCCATTCTGCTCCAGCATAGTTCTCCACTGCAAGGAGTTGTTGGCCCAGTTGTGCAAAGATAGCTAGAAGACTTTTGTTAAATTAAGTGCAAGGCATTGCATATTTTCTGTTTCAGCTTACAGAGGTATGTGCTACCAAACTGTTCCATGTGGCACTATACATTGTTAATAGAAAACAAATGGTTTAATTGTAGAAAAGAGATCATGGCACAGATAGTTTCTGAATGGAGTAGCCAATTGACAATTCTCAGAAGTTCCAGATATCATGTGTACAATGGTACTGCCTTTCCTTTGTCCTTGTATCATATTATGAGATTGTTGGAAAATTACTGAGAATCCTGTTGTGTGAGCAAACCCATGCACAACTGTGGTGACAAGGATTCCTTGGTCTGGTAGGGTGAAAAATAGTATTCAGTAGGAGTGGCTGAAATGCCCTTGAAATCTTCAGTTTAAGGATGTGCGTGGGAAAATGCCATTTCAATTTGGATAGCTGGATTCAAGGAAGTTCAGACTCTCTGATCTGCTTATCACCAAGCCCTGACTCAAATGTTAAAGACATTTATCAAAATGCTTCTCATTATCTGTGGTAAGAAGAGGGATAGATGTCATCGTCTAGCACAAGCACTACTTGTATACATAGTGACTTGGGAATGACCCTATTAAATTCAATTGAATTAACATCTAAACAGACATGAATATGATTGTGCTCCATATCAGTAATCCTAAACCCACTTACTAGGCTCTAAACTCAATTGAACTTTGTGGTATTTACTTCTGAGTAAATATGCATAGTAATACACTGTAAAATTAAAAAATGTGAATCATTTTTTAACTTGGGAGATAAAGATTGTAAACAATCAAGCAAAGGCTGTGCTGCCCTACTATAAACCACCCTGAATATGGTCTAAATCCATTTCATTAGCCCAAAATAGAATATACCATTGAATCATGGGAACTTGATAAGGCAACACTTGTGTTAGTTGCAACTAACAGTTGGGTGTTGGCTTTTATGTTTATGGTTCAAGACAAGTATGCTATTAGTTTTGATGTGGGTTTTATCCATTCTGCAAACTTTCATAATTGTTGAAAGAACATTTATTCTTAATTATATATTGTACTCCAGTGCTTTGAAATATAAGCTGTTTTCAGAGGTTCTTTGAAAAAATGAGGGGGAAAAACAGCATACAGTGCCCTTGCTCCCAACCACCATGTATGCATTTGATGGCTGGAATAGAGTTTACAGCCAAATAAGTACACCACATAGAATTTTCTCTGTAACTAAGAATCAGAAAAACAACAACAGATTCCAAAAGTGATGTTGAGGGCTGTAAATGAACATATGAGTACTTTCCCAGCATCTTAATCTGCCGAACAGTGTCTTGTCCATCTCTTGTCCACCAAAATGACTAGCTGTCTTCCAAAGGTATATGATTGGAACATATGCTCATAGTGTTAAAGACTTAACAGTTGCTGCTGCCAAATCAGCTGGCCTGTATGTCTTATCTCCCTCTGTAAACACCATTAGTGTACATACAGTACTTTAATATCAGACTGACAACAGATTGGGAATCCTGGACTACTTGCACTAGTACATTGGTAGTTGTGCATCCAGACTTTTTCACTGGGTTTCTTTATTTCATCCTTGAAGGTGATGGTTTGGTATGCTGTGTATATTATATTGTTGTATGCCTTCAAGTCATCTGACTAATGGTGATCCTAAAGGGAACCTAGCACAGGGTTTTCTGGGGCTGAAAGTATTTGACTCATGAGAGGTTACCCAGTGGGTTTCCATGGCTGAGTGGGGAATCAGACTCTGGTCTCCAGAGTTGTAATACACTGCTCAAACCATTACACCATACTGACTCTCATTTAGAACTGTACCTCCTTCTGGCAGAATCATATTAGTGTATTATCCCTTAATAGATGTGTGTGAACTATGTCAGAAGATTATTCCTCCATTCAAAAAAAATATTAATATAGTTCCAGATCTTGATAGAAAAAAAAAATGATTCAGTCATGGCCCTATCATTATTCCACCTACAAGTCCTATAAAAATAACATACATTTCAATTAAACCATCATTAGATTTATGGTCTTACCCATATCCAGAATTTGTTTGCCAAAGACATTTATCATCTTATTTTAGAAAAAATGTTTGACAAAGTGATCTTTCCAAATTTTAATCAAGGGTTACTAGCACTTCTGTTTTCAATTAAATTAAGATCTCTTTCATCTTTAGTGGGTAATTTCATCAGTCTTTCTGGATTAAAAGTTTGATTTATTGGGATGTAATTATAATAGGCTCCTCCCAGCTGTTTTTTTTTTTAATAAAATCTCTTTCTACATACAGCACTTGCTCTATATCTTACAGATTATGATTATATGTGGTAAAAGGAACTGACAAGCACATATAATGTTTCACAATTTCTCTGAGAAAATTTGTTTGGCATGAGACTGTTCCATAGTAAACACACTGCAGAAATAATCCGGTTTGAGACTGCTTTAACTGCCCTTGTTCGGTGCTAGGGAATTCTGAGAACTGTAGCTTTGTGAGACATTTTGTCTTCTCTGTCAGAGAACTCTGGTGCCACAATAAACTACAATTCCCAAGATTCCCCAGCATTGAGCCAGGGCAGTTAAAGTGGTCACAAACTGGATTATCTCTGCAGTGTGTTTTGGACCATTGTCTCAACCTCTACATAGTCTAAAACTTTAGTTTTACTTTATTGTTACTCTTCTTTATCTCTGTTGGCATAAAAGTTGAAATAAAGAGTGTGTTTCATGCTTGGGATGAAAAAAAAAACACCTGTATGTGACTTGATATCAGACTCATGTGCATGGTTCTATCATGATATGATGGCATGATGATAT